GCCTCGGTGGGCCGCTGACGTGCCCCCGAGCAGAAACGGGGACGCCGCCGTGGCCGGTGGCTACTGGCCTCCCGGGCCGTGGCGTGTCCTGGGGGCCACATGGGCTGTGGCCTCAGGGGCTGCACGTCTTTGCTGGGCTCACGGGCCCTGGCATCCATTTCCGCAGAGCAAAGGTGCAGCCGCCAGGCGCAAGCACGGCCCCGGCCCCGGCCCCGGCCCCGCCCCCGCGGGATCCCCGGCCCAGACGCCAAGGCCCGGCGCCACCCTCCGCCAGAACCCCAGACCTTCCCACCAGGCCTCTCGCAAGGGCCACGTTAGTGGCTTTTTATCACGTGGAGACGAGCCCCACTGTGCGTCCCAACACGGCAAAAAGGAGAAAGGAGCCAACAGACCAGTGAGGCCCCTCGTCTTCGCCTCGATGTCCCCCAGGAGGGTCTCGGGGCTGGCGCTGGTCTTCTCTTCCTCCACACAGTAAGTTTCCAGAAACTTCTTATACTCTGGATCTATAAACCAAGCAAAGACGCGTAAGCCCCACCGCGGGCGAGGAAGGGCGGGCCCGAGCGTCCAGCGGGCGAGGACCCACCGTCCTCAATGCTCCCTGTCCTGGTGTCTGTTTTCCTCAGCTTCCTTCTGGCTATCTTCTGGAATGGGGCGAACTCAACCACTGCGGGGTACTCGAGGCCTTCAACGACACACAGAGCCCCGCCCACTCTGAGTGAGGACACCCTGGTCTGGCGCAGCAGCCTCCTGCCTTCGCTCGCTCACCCCCCGTGGCGCATCCCGAGGCACAAGGCCCGCGGCCGCCAGCCCTCAGCAGGTGCGGCCCACAGTCCGCCAAGGAGAAGCCGCCCACGAATGGAAGATTCCTCCTGCCGGGGCGGTGGGTCCGCGGCCAAACACAGTTAAAATCGTCAAAGCCCACACACTTATCCAGAAAACTGACTTACGTGACAAACTTCACCCATCAATGATCCATAAATACGGTCCTGCTACACAAGACGGTTGGAATTCTTTGGTTTATGCAGAATTTTATTTTTAACAGAAGCACACAAGCACAGCAGCAATCAAAAAGTACCACCTTATTTTAGATTAATATTGCAAGCCCTCCGAACCGAAACAAAAACCTCCTAGCCAGAGACCACTGGTGGACTCGGACAGTAATACAGAGCTTAGAAGTCAACGAGCCAACCTTTGCTGTCGATGAAGATGCAGCCATCAAAGCGGTCTCTAAAAAGAAGGATGTCATCCGGGTTTCTGAAATTGATGTATGCTCTCGAGTAGAGGTGAGGGTAGAGACTGGAACAAGAGACAGCAGAGAGAAAAGTTAGTACGAAATACAACACACCTCTAATTTCGACTCTTTCAATAGTATTCTGACTACAACACGGTATTTCACATAAAACCTTTAAGTCAATGAACAAGCTTTATGCTAAGTACAACAATCTAAGCCGTCATAGCAAAAACTGAACAAAAGAATAAAACACAAGCTGAGACATTTTTAATAATAAATCGACGCTTGAAGTCGACTTCTCTACTGTTCAGTCTGGGCCTGGAAGGCGGGAAAGCAAAGGCAGCCGAGCCCGAGGTGATTCCTGATCATGTGGTGGCTGGGCCGCAGCCTGCTCTGACTCGCTCACAGAAGCAGAGTCCGCAGACCTAGGACCAAAGAGTCCTGCGGACCGCACAGGGCTAAGCCCTTCTCCCTCATCCAGCTACCAGCGGCGGCCCTCAGTGCTCGGTCACAGACGTGACACCGAGGCTCAGCGGTCTCTACAGGGGACCGACAGGGGCTAGTGCCCATCGACGACATTCAGGATTCAGGGTCTGTTCTCCTTCAACCGTGTACTGCTTTCCCTGAGCTAATCATTTGAAAATCATCTTTATGTCACTTTTCCCATTTTACTTGTTTGCTGTGCTATTTTTCTTTGACTGGGCTTCTTTACTTAAAGGTCTTTATTGAAGAGAAAAGCTTCCATGGCTACCATAAATGAGAACTCACCCTGTTGGCGATAAAAGAGACAATGCTACGATAATAAAAGCTCACTGATCATCTGCACATTCCAGCTGCACCATCACCGGAAGCTCCAGCCCAAGCTAGAGCCTGTTCTCTGCCACTAAGAGGGAGGTCTGGAAGACTTGAGCTGTTGTCAGAGAACCCTGATCACCAAGCATGACAGCAGCTGAGCGCATGCGACTCGGCCGGGTAGGTGCCCGCTCGGTGGCAGAAGGGCGCACAAGGGGCTTCTGGAGCCTGGAACTGTGTCAGTTACTGTGTGGTACGCGGACCTGTGAGACTCACCACAGCCCTGGGGAGCCAGAGCTGACCCAGAAGGAGGGCTGTCCCCTGTGTGCCAAAAGCAGACATGGCACTCTGGAGCAAGAGGACCCATTACACAGCAAGTGAGGACAGGGTGGGCTGGGGATTTACAGGCCCGCAGTAGCCAGTAAGTCTGTCCTGCCACAGACAGTGTCCACTGAGAAGAAAGTGAGGGCCAGGCCAAGCTCTGGGAGCAGAGTAGGGGCTTCTGCACAGACTCCTGCCCACGGGGAGCAGAGCCCCACCCCTGTACCGCACAGTCCTCCTGTGGCCAGTCTGGGACCCTGCACCTCCGGCAGGCAGGTGGGCAGCGAGGCCAGCAGGGCTTGGCCTGTGCTCCTCACCGTGGCTCCTCATCTACGGGGTTTTCACTTCTCTGCAGCACCTTTAAAACTTTCTCTAAACACCATACGAAATCAGGCTTACTGATACACCAAACACGAAAATAGAGAACAAGCAGGTCTTTCTCTAGCCTGCCACAGTGCTGACAGCACATTTCAGAGGTATTTTATAGAAATCAACGACCTGCCTGACTGGAAATGACTAGCAGAGGCAGGTGGGCCCTGACTTCCGGAGAGAATGAGCGCACCTGAAGTCGGCCGTGAAGAACTCAAAGTAATCGTGCGCGGGCAGCGGGCAGAGCTGCTCCTCCAGCTGCTCCTTGGTGAGGCCGGGCGGAAGCCGCCGGATGACCACCTGCGGGAGGACACCGCGGCGCGGACGCGGGCCGGAGGCCGTGCTGAGGCCAAGCGGATGGCCGCCCGCCCCCGACGCCCAGAGCCCCAGGCTCGTCGGCTTGCCTCGGCCCTGCGCGGCGCTGCCGTCGACCCCCAGGGGAGGCCGCCGCTGGCCAACCCCAACGGGAAGTGTCCACAGGCTGAAAACAGCTTCCCCCTTCCCACGCGCGGCGGGGCGCGCGCACACACACGCACGCACACACACACACACACACACACACGCAAGCGGGCGCGCTCTTCACAGCGGGGGGGGCAGGCGCTGTCCGCGGTGCTGAAGCCACGCTCCCGCCCCTGGCCACGCCCCCACCCAGGTCTACACAGGGTTGGCCCCGCCCCGTCACTAGGCCCCGCCCCTCGACC